CATGGAGCTCACACTGTAAGAAGGTTAGGTCAGGGATGAGAATTCAAAATTGCCACCAGCACAAACCTGAGGTGCCACGTCTCAGAGCATCCAGAGATATACCTGGTAGCGAATTGGGGGCGTGACTGAAGGGCTGGTGCCGACATGAAGGTGGGGCCGTTCTGGATTCCCCAGAGGAGCCAATGGCTGCCTAGGACGGACCTTTTGATGCTGACTGGCATAGAAACCGACCAATCAGAACCAAATCTGGGTGAACAACGAGGAGCCAATGGCTGCCTAGGAGGGGGAGCTTTTGACGCTGACTGGCATAGAAACTGACCAATCAGAACCTAATCTGGGTGAACTGCAAAGGCAGAACCTAAGGTAGGTCCTGAGGAGGGGTTTTAAGAGCAACAGCTGTTTGGTGTAAGGTGTAAGAAAGTGGTTCAATTTGTTAATAAATAGTTTGGCAGTATAGTGCATATGGCTGGCTATCAGTCCAGATATAGGGGTTATGTATTTTTGTCTGCCAAGAGCATCTCCTCCTGCTGAAAAAGGCTTCCCCGCCCCCCATTTAAGCAATCCTATCCTATATAATCTATCTATACTAATAAAAGAGTATTATGCTAATTAGACCAGGTCGACCGGCCATCTTCTGGACATCGGACTTCCTTCCAGACAAAGCCATGGTGGTGGGGTCGATGCAGAGGCAGTTAGGGGTGATCAGACCGGCAGGGGAGAGCAGTTAGGGTCGAGATCAGGCTGAGAGGGGATTAAGGGCAATCAGGCCAGCAGGGGAGGGCAGTTGGGAGCAACCAGGCCAGAAGGGGAGGGCAGTTGGGGGTGACCAGGCCAGCAGGGGAGGGCAGTTGGGGGCGACCAGGCCGGCAGGAGAGGGCAGTTGGGGGCAACCAGGCCAGGAGGGGAGGGCAGTTGGAGGCATTAGGCAGACAGGCAGATGAGTGGTTAGGAGCCAGTGGTCCTGGATTGCGAGAGGGATGTCCGACTGCCGGTTTAGGCCCGGTCCCTGTGGTTTGTGCTGGTGGCAATTTTGAATTCTCATCCCTGACCTAACCTTCTTACAGTGTGGGACCGGGCCTAAACTGGCAGCTGGACATCCCCTGAGGGGTCCCGGATTGAAGAGGGCACAGGCCGGGCTGAGGGACATGCCCCCCCTCACGAATTTCTTGCATCGGGCCTCTAGTCTACACCAATAAAAGAGAAAGATGCAAAATGACCATACCTTTTTGATGCCCACCAGCCAATCAGGAGTAAGTATGCAAATTAACCTCATCGCCTCCGTGGAGACAGACAGCAGGGACGAGGCAGCTCCCAGCACAGCACAGCCTGCTTGGCTGACCCAGGAGCAAGCAAGCACGGCCCATGGCGACCCGGGAGCAGGGAAGCGCAGTCTGCAGGCAGCTCCCAGCACGGCAGGCTGTCGCTGCTGCAACCAGGGAGCAGGCAAGCCCGGCTGGCAGGCAGCTCCCAGCACGGCCTGTGGCAACCCAGGAGCAGGGAAGCACGGCCCGCAGGCAGCTCCAAGCACGGCCTGCTTGGCCGTCGCCACAGTGACCTGGAAGCAGGCAAGCGCCGCTTGCAGGCAGCACCCAGCATGGCCTGCTTGGCCATTGCCTCGGCGACCAGGGAGCAGGCAAGTGTAGCCCACAGGCAGCACCCAACACGGCCTGCTTGGCAGTTGCTGCGGTGTAGAGCAGGCAGGCCCCACAGAGAGCAGAGAACCACGGGGAGCAGGCCTAAGCCAGCAGTAGGACATCCCCTGAGGGCTCCCAGATTGGAGAGGGTGCAGGTCAGGCTGAGGGACATACACATACACACACACACACACACACACACACACACACACACACACACATCATGCACGAATTTCGTGCACCGGGCCTCTAGTATAATACTAATTATCCTGGACCAAATAGTGATAATCAAAAGTATATTCAAATACACTTATATAACCACAAACCATACAGTTTTAACAAAGGTTAGGCATGACTATTTCATTTTCAAATATCCTCATTACATAAAATTGATGCAAGCAGAATTAGTAATTCTATTAATACTAAAAAGATATATGTTTTTACTGCTTTATCTTATAATAATGTGAAATCAAATATACTGCATAAATAGACAACTGGCAATAAAAAGTTACACTTTCAAAAACTATGTGCACAGCTAGGCACTTCCTGGTTTTCTGAATGCAGGATTTATTTGAAAGAAATATAAATCACTAATTACAAAGCATAAAAGTAGACAGAGAAATCTAAATAGGATCGTGGGAAACAGGCAAGGTCACATGCGAAAAAAGTAAAGGGAAAAAAAAGAATACAATTACAAAGAGTCTAAATGTTTTCTGAAAACATTACATTATAGGTAAGTATGTTCTGGTTCCAAAAAATATCTACTCTGTTAAGCTTTACCACTAAGACAATATTTAAAAAGTAAAGTCCATAAAAATCCTTTGACAGGAGACAAAATACCAAGATTACTTGAATACTTTTATTTTATTCAATCTTTTTTAAATTTCTGCCTACCTCTCAGAAAAAAGTTCAAAAACATTAATACATGGTTGAATTTATACAAACACTGATAAAAATGAAAATCTATGCATTTAGTGACAAGTAAAAGAAGCATACGTTTCATCAATTAACTAGGATCAATTAAATCCTAAAATTATCAATAGTGGTTAGTTTTCAACCTTGCCATTACAAACACAGTCACACACACATACACACAGAGAAGGGAAAAAGATCAAACCTAACACAAGAAAATAAGATCTTCTTGCTATTTTAGTCAAATGAAATCACAAATCAGGGCATGTACTGTCCAGTCTGCCATACAATATTGTCCAATGAGAATATTCAGAATTCCTAAGACATTGCAAATAAAAAAAATAAGTTTAACTTCTTCAATAAAAAGTTAAACTTCAATTAGCCAAAATAAATTCCTTCATCTATTCTTTGAGAATTCCAATTAATTGGGGTTCTTACATGCTCTTGATGCCCTAATTTTTGTACAATGAAGGAGGAAACTGACTAGATAAGATAGAGTGGGTTATGGATCTAATGCTTATTCAAATAAACTCTAATGGTATGTTTGCTTTTAAAATTTTTCACATTCTGCAAAATGTCAGGCTAAAATTAACAGGGCTAAGGGGAAAATAGATTTGGAACAAACCACTGGAAAACTACAACTCTGTCACCAGAGCAGTGACAAAAACATTAATTGGTACCTAGGAAGATAACCTGGAACGCCCAGACAGGTCCATTAACTTGGCTGGAGGCTGCCACAAGGATAAAAAAAAAACACATCAAAACAAGGCTAGGAGATACTCAACCAATAAAAGTGGAACCTGACCCAGAGGGGCTGCTCTTCAGGGGGCCACCATTAGTAGGGAGCCACACAAAACTGACAGGTAAATCTCTGGTAAGAAAACTCCAGGTACAAGCACTCATATTTATTATTCTCCAATCAGAGCTACAAGTGTTTCTGCGGGAAGTACGGCAGCCAAGCTTAGGGCTATTTCCTTTCCCCTGTAAGTTATAACACCATCTCCCCAACCCTATTACTGGTTCCCCTTGCCTAGGAAAACATCCCACATTCAGCAATGTAATTTTTGTGTTCATCTGGTATAATTCTCTAATTTCTAACATATGTGAGCAAAACCACATTATAGAAATAAAAAGACTGTGCTTTAAATATGTTTGCAAAGCAAGGCTAGCTATCCTTTTAACACTTTCTTTTGACCATTTTTCTTTTGGGTACTTCCTCTTTTTTACTTACATGAGTCTCATAAATTACAAGATTTAGTCATCTGTCAAATGTGTAACAAATTGTTTTTCCAACTGATCACTTGATTTTATGCTGAGGTTCATGAGTTTGGGAAGATTTTTTAATGGTTTAATTGTATATATTAATGGCTTCATCTTTTCTCATTCCTGAGATTTAATGCCTCACTTTTAGATCACCCATTCCAGTGTTATAAGTAGATACACCTGTTTTCTTCAAATACATTTTTTACATTTGTCTTTAACTTATCTGAAATTTTAGCATAAAGTTTAAGGCAAAAATTCAGTCTGATTTTTTAATCTACAAATTGCTATTAACTCTGTATTTCCATCTATTTTCCCCCGCTGAGTTGAATTGCCATTTTTTATCATACAAAGTATCCAATATGTTTAGATTGACCCTCTTTTCTTTTTTTCTTTTTTTTTAATCTTTAATTTCTTTATTGGTTAAGGTATCACAAATGTGTCCTCATCCCCCCATTAACCCTCTTCCTCTGTGTGGTTAGAGGCTATGACAGGGAATATTTAACAGGCAGAAAACAGTAGAAATGCTTGACACACTTTAATTCAAACAGTGTTGAGAGGTACTGTTTAAATACTGCAGCTTCCTGATGATCCCCTCCCTCCCCAAATCATCATTTTTTCAGAAATTTTACCAAGTGTGTATGTAAGAAATTAAATTAGAGTACCTATCAAAAGGGGGGGAATGTCAGAGTCGGCTAGAAGGAAAAGTGAAGCATTCTTTTGAATTCCAAGCCCCATAGGACTGACTATACTTCTGATGCACTTAGTTTGCTTCTGATAACCACTTTATAATCATAAAGAACAGATGATAACAAGGGTGGCCAAGTAAGCTACATCTAAGATTAGCAATACTTTGATCCAAAAAAAGCAACAGATCTGGATATTTGGATCAAAAGAACAAAGACCAAATAATTAAATGTTATGCTTAAGTTTTTCCAGAAATTCCAGTTTCCTTAATTACATAATCTCTGTGTTCTACAAAAGCTTATCTAGGGGCTTAATGTACTAGTTAGTAATTAGGCTGTTTTCATTCCATAAAAGTCTATAAACATCGTTTTTAATGTTTTTCTTTACTATAGCATCATAAAATTATAATAAATGAAATTAAAAGTCTAGATTTAGGCTAAGGGATGTAATAGCAGGCCCTATGTACAGTATCTCATAATTGTGTCATAAATTTTTCCAAATACTCACTTATTAAGCAATGGATGTTATGGGAGTAACGTGAATTGTCTGGGATGGTGAAGCTGCTATCACAGATAGCAACTTGACTCTCACCAAAAGGAAGAGTGAAGAAACAAAGTTTATACAGTAAACATCCCAGTGCCTGTAAAATAAAGAAGCATGAATATCATCAGAATTCAAATAAACAACTTAACCACAAGACATAAAAATAGCATTAAACCAAAAACTAAATTTGTTATTTTAAAGAAGACTAATGTTTTTATACTGAATTAATCTTTTCACAAATTACTTGCTTAAACTAATTAATGAGCTTATTTGTTGAGAAGACATTTAACTATATCATTTCCATGTTTTTCTATCACATCTGTGGATAGCTGGCTAAATTAATACTATCATAGAACTCTAAATCATAAATAATATAACTAAAATTAGAAGTGGTTGGTCCCTTTGAGGAAAAAAATTATACTTTTATTTCTTTCACAAGGAAAATATATATTTAGTACATAACTAGCATATAACCAACTAGTTAAGCACAATACTCCTTCTAGCAGCATTTTTTAAAAATTCACTATAAAACATGTTTTAAAATCCTGGATTCCAAACGAGTTAGCCAGCACAGTTAAATTTATTAGACACTAAGCATGTGTCATTTCATACTATAAAAATTAGTCTCTATTTTTCTGTATAACCCTATGATCTTTATTCTATAATTTACTAATCATATTTGTACCTGGATAATCTATATTAAAATTCAAAAAGGCAGGGCTCTGTCTGCTTCACAGACATCACAGCATCAATAAATCTACTTGCTGACAACAAAAAACAAAATACCCTAAAAACAAAATTGTAGCTAAGCTGCTAACACAGCTCAAACCAGAGAACCAGTAATGAAATGTAATTTTCAGGTCAAGAAATCATTATGTTGTCACAAGATGTGTAATCTACAAGCCTTAACTGTGTAAGGGGTAGTTCTAACTCTAAACAGATTGTACAAACTTATCCAATAGTTAGTACACAATTTTATCAACAATACTAAAATTTGTCCTTACCATCTAAAAATCAGCTTTGTTGAATTTTCTCCACATACCAACTTAGCAAATGCAACTAACAAATACTCTAAGCTTTATAACTATTTTGAAGATCACAATATACAGAAACACCTGTGTTAAATAATATTAATTTACTAACCATTACTTTCAACATTTTAACAGTGTTCTAAGGAAAAATTTAAAGGCTTTAGAAATTTCAATATATCCATTCAAAGACATTACAGGGTTATTTATTATATGATTAACAAAACTGTGAAGATTCTGCCCAGCCAGTGTGGCTCAGTGGTTGAGCATCGACCCAGGAATCAAGAGGTCATGGTTAGATTCCTGGTCAGGGCACATGTCCGGGGTTTCGGGCTCGATCCCCATTGGCTGGTGTGCAGGAAGCAGCCAATTGATGGTATTACTCTCTCATAGATGTTTCTATCTCTCTATCCCTGCCCCTCCTCTCTCTCAAAAAAAATCAAAACATTTATTTAAACTGAAGATTCTGAATAGAAAAATCCAGTAAAATGTGGCTTTAAAAATTTTATGATGCTTTGTTTTATAAGTAAGATATCTTCAGCATGTATGCAGTAAACTGAGGATAAGGCTCCCTTAACAATAATAAAAAATACTATTAATGGTGTAATATCTGCATTAAATTACACTTTCTCCTACCCAGATGACAATCTCCAGTGGTCGGCAAACTCATTAGTCAACAGAGCCAAATATCAACAGTACAACGACTGAAATTTCTTTTGAGAGCCAAATTTTTTAAACTTAAACTATATAGGTAGGTACATTGTTTATTAACTTAATTAGGGTACTCCTAAGGCTTAGGAAGAGCCACACTCAAGGGGCCAAAGAGCCGCATGTGGCTCGCGAGCCGCAGTTTGCCGACCACGGGTCTAGGCAAAAGGGATCTCCATTTTAGCCATTTTTATCTCGTCAATCAGACCTTTAAGTAATGTGTCATGTGTTACAGTAAATGTTGTGGGAGTACCCAGTTAACAGTTTTAGACAGCAATGTCAGTATACTTAAAAACATAAATCTAAAATACTCTGCTTCATGTTGTTTGAACACAATGAGGTGTCCTAGTTTCTTCATACCAAAGGCATTTCCCTCTTTATCCATTTTATATTATGAGACTTGTTCAAAAAACAAGAGAGAACAAATGACATGATTTTAAAAGCTATCACCATCCTCCATTTTCGTCATCAGAAGGTAACATGAAGCATCTCCCACCTAAAATGTGGTAGCTCACTTACGTTTCACCTGAGCTAAGACAAGCATAAAAAACACCATGCAAATTAAAGTTCTATCCCTGTCAAGCATATAAACACAGCTTCTGTTTTCTGATTATTTTTCTTGCTTCTTTTTTTTTATCTTTGAGTATGTACAACTCCATAGTTATACCAAGTTAGCTGTTAGAGAAATACTACTCCATATACTAATCTATAAATGGCATAAATTTTAAACTTATCACTGACAACTTAGTATGTTGCTTGGCATGCACACTAAGTCTGGTGAAAAATAAACAACAACAAAAGATTCCCTCTCCTTTCTGTTAAGATACTGGGTAACCCTTGATGATTTCAAAACAGTATTGAGCTATGATGTCTGTTGTTTCTTCTGTTGTTGAAATAGATTTTTAGGTAATACAGATTTCAACAGCCAGTCACAAAATTAGGTCACTAAATGCTTGCATAGTCACCTCTTCTAATATTTTCATTTTATCAATTCAGATCCTATTGAATTTGCTTTCTACATTATACTACAAACCATTTAATGAGTCAAATGTTAATGTTGAGAAAAGCAAATTAAATTTGAGTTATACAAGCTGGTGATCTAAAAGCAGTATCAAATTAAACCAAACTTATTCATGGTGTGATTCAATTATGTGTATGGTTAAAAATGCAACTACCACATGATTTAAGAAACACCATTTGGTGAAAAAGTATATATTATGTGGAAAGATAAAAAGATATCAAAGCTATTCTTTTTTTATTACCTTGCAGGAATATTTAGGTATCCCGACCACAAGAGGAAGAGTCCAGGAGAAGAGAACCAAGGAGATATTCATTTTATTTCACACATTACTTTCAACTACTTTCTGAACACTATGTTTTAAAAACAAAATAAACATGACTTTTCTAATAAACTCTAGAACTATTTCCAAAGGATTTTTCCCCTCCATCCCTAACATGGTCACTAGTGACAGATATAGCTAAATACTAGCTGAAGTTAAATGAATTTACATTTAAAGTACCTCCCTACTAGTTTATTAAATACTAGAGGCCCGGTGCACGAAATACGTGCATGGGTAGGGTCCCTAGGCCTGGCTGGTGATCAGGGCCGATCAGGTTCCCCGCCTCCCCGCCTCCTCCTTCCCTCGCTCCCTCAGCACCCTGCTGCCACTGGTCACCCGTCATGTTCTGCGCTGCTCCCTGGTGGTCAGCGTACGTCATAGGGAGCGACTGAACTCCCAGTCTTCTGGTCGAACTCCAGAGGGGACAATTTGCATATTAGCCTTTTATTATATAGGATTACTAAAATATAGTTTGCTTATGAAATAAGTAAAAAAGAAGTACTGGCGTCTATATATATAAAAGGCTAATATGCTAAGTGTCCGACTGTTCACTATGATGCGTACTGACCACCAGGGGGCAGACGCTCAATGCACAGGCATGGAAACATGGAACAGACTGATGAATATCAGAGGGAAGGGGGAAGAAGCAAGGGTGGGAGGAGATTAACCAAAGATCTTATATGCATACTAGAGGCCCTCGGCCTGGCCTGCGCCCTCTTGCAATCTGGGACCCCTCAGGGGATGTCGGACTGCTGGTTTCAGCCCAATCCCCACAGTCAAGTCCTAACATAAAGTTCAACTTTATAGAAACACAATCTATCTTAATAATTCAATCCAGATATATATGATATGCTAAATAATAAAAAACTTGATTATATTTTAGTCAATGACATGTTTATAATTAGAAAAAGTTTTATGCATGTTAATTTCCTAAAATATTCTACAAAGTTATCAGTGTAATTTCCAGCTTTTCCATAAGGTGACCAACCAAAATTCCACTCAATCAAAAAAAATGTTAACACTCATATATAATCTAAACACTAAAAAATATCATGATAAAAAGTTCTATTATATGGAAGTCCATTGTTTGCTTTTTTATACAATGGGCTTTCCTTCTCAGGATTAAGAACACAAAATATTCTATTTTCATCACCTGAATAAGAATCTCTACTATACAACACTTTTCTGCTTATTAGGAAATACCTTTTGGGAACAGGGGGCAAATAATCAATTGAACTCAAATTTTTAAAATTTGGTTAGAGAAAACATCAACCTTTCTTGGCCTTACCCAGATATCAGCCTTGGTGGTGATGGGTTTCCCTCCATAAAGGTTGATCATTTCAGGGGCTCTGTATGACAGAGTTGTATACCTGGCAGTAAATAAGTAAAATGGAGTGGAGATATAAAAATAAAATAAAAAGACAGATACTACATTGTTTCTACATAAAATGCTGCAAAAAATTTCTCTGTTCAATAACATTAGATAAAAATAATACTACTTTTTTTTTTTAAATATATTTTATTGATTTTTTACAGAGAGGAAGGGAGAGAGATAGAGAGTTAGAAACATCGATGAGAGAGAAACATCGACCAGCTGCCTCCTGCACATCTCCCACTGGGGATGTGCCCACAACCCAGGTACATGCCCTTGACCGGAATCGA